ATTAAACAAATAATAAACCAAGAATAAACCACAAATAAACCAAGAGTAAACCAAGACAGAAACAGAACTAAACCAGGATCAAACCAGTATTGCAATCTGAGTCTACACCGGGATTAAGAAGAATTCTACGCACTCACATCAAAATTGGGACTAAACCAAGAATAAACTAAGACAGAAACAGGACTAAACCCAGCCTACATCAGGACTAAACCAAGATCAAACCAGTCTTGCAATCTGAGCCTCCACTTATGGACTAAAACCTCACTAAAACTACTGGTAATGCCCTTGGCCCACAGCTTGAGAACTGTTGGTCTATGTGGCCACTGCTTTGAGGTTGTTGATAGATGAGAATTACGGGGAAGTGTATATCTTTAACTGGCGGCGCGCTACTGCTCGGGGCTGCTGAGAGACGAGTTTGACTGAGAAGAAAGCATTAGCCCCCCTTGAAGCGACCACTCCGTCAGGGGTGAGGGGACAAAAGCTCAAATACCTCCAGTGACTATTCCCCAGAGATAAACTAATATAAGTGAAAGGGGAGCCAGGGGGGCACAGATAAGGCCGGGCTTATGGACACAGAGTAGTTATTTTAATTGTCTGCATATCTGACATTTCTCATGGGCAGTAAACAGGATTAGAGCTGCTGGGCCCTGGTACTTCATGTTACTGATGTTAATGAGAAGGCAAAGGTGATTTAGTTTGGAGAGTTGAGTCTGACCTTTGTGGTAAAAGCTGCGAGAGGTGATAAGTGGAACGTCAGAAGAATTTTAACACCAAAACGAGAAAAAGTGAATTGGGAAAAATTACTCAAAATAATATGCAGTGTTATTCTTCTTTAAAAACTAGACTTAATTATAAGTGCTATATCAAACTTCTAACATCTTTATTACTGCTACAACTACTACTATTAGTACTGCTGTTACTACTTTTTAATACTACTTCTGCTACTGCAACATTTACTGCTACTATTACTACAAGTACTACGACTACTACTACTACTACTACTTTTAATACTACTATGGCTACTACAACTACTTCAAATACTATATGACTACATCCACTACTACTACTACTACTACTACTACTACTACTACTACTACTACTACTACTACTACTACTACTACCACATACACTAGTACTGCAACAATTACTGCTACTGCTTCGGCTACTACTATTCCTGTATTTCTAATTCTAGCAGTTTCTGGCATTTGTAATTTTCAAAAAAAAAAAAAAAAAACTCTCCTCAATCACATTGCAAATCTGTTTTTGGATATGTATTCTTTTGTATGAAATCCTTCTAGATGTGTGTAGTTTTATCATGACTGTTGGCAACGCAAACAAGTCTAAAAGGGTCAAAAAGCCGAGAAATCAGTTTGTTTACGTAAGCGTCTGTCTGGTCTGAGGGTGTATCTTTTGGAGGAGGAGCGGGTGGAGGAGCGAGGGGAGGAGGGTGTATCTGTTGGAAGAGCGAGGGGAGGAGGGTGTATCTGTTGGAAGAGCGAGGGGAGGAGGGTGTATCTGTTGGAGGAGCAGCGGGTGGAGGAGCGAGGGGAGGAGGGTGTATCTGTTGCTGGAGTAGCGGGTGGAGGAGCGAGGGGAGGAGGGTGTATCTGTTGCAGGAGTAGCGGGTGGAGGAGCGAGGGGAGGAGGGTGTATCTGTTAGAGGAGTAGCGGGTGGAGGAGCGAGGGGAGGAGGGTGTATCTGTTAGAGGAGCAGCGGGTGGAGGAGCGAGGGGAGGAGGGTGTATCTGTTGGAGGAGCGGGTGAGGAGCGAGGGAGGAGGGTGTATCTGTGTGCGAGGAGCTGGAGTAGCGGGTGGAGGAGCGAGGGGAGGAGGGTGTATCTGTTGCTGGAGTAGCGGGTGGAGGAGCGAGGGGAGGAGGGTGTATCTGTTGGAGTAGCGGGTGGAGGAGCGAGGGGAGGAGGGTGTATCTGTTAGAGGAGTAGCGGGTGGAGGAGCGAGGGAGGAGGGTGTATCTGTTGGAGTAGCGGGTGGAGGAGCGAGGGGAGGAGGGTGTATCTGTAGCGGGTGGAGGAGCGAGGGAGGAGGGTGTATTGTGTATCTGGAGTAGCGGGTGGAGGAGCGAGGGGAGGAGGGTGTATCTGTTGTGGAGAGCGGGTGGAGGGCGAGGAGGAGGGAGCGAGGGGAGGAGGGTGTATCTGGTGGAGTAGAGCGGGTGGAGCGAGGGGAGGAGTGTATCTGTTAGAGGAGTAGCGGGTGGAGGAGTGAGGGGAGGAGGGTGTATCTGTTGGAGGAGGAGCGGGTGGAGGAGCGAGGGGAGGAGGGTGTATCTGTTGCAGGAGTAGCGGGTGGAGGAGCGAGGGGAGGAGGGTGTATCTGTTTAGGAGAGCGGGTGGAGGAGCGAGGGGAGGAGGGTGTATCTGTTGGCAGAGCGGGTGGAGGAGCGAGGAGGGGAGGAGGGTGTATCTGTTGCAGGAGTAGCGGGTGGAGGAGCGAGGGGAGGAGGGTGTATCTGTTGCTGGAGTAGCGGGTGGAGGAGCGAGGGGAGGAGGGTGTATCTGTTGGAGGAGCAGCGGGTGGAGGAGCGAGGGGAGGAGGGTGTATCTGTTGGAGCAGCAGCGGGTGGAGGAGCGAGGGCGAGGGGAGGCAGCCTGACTGTCTGTCGGTGTAATGACAGGTCTCAATACAGCTCAGACCCACAGACCAGTCCCTTTGACCCTAATGAGTGGTTTACTACACATGTCCAACGGACTATTTTTACCACTGCTCCTCTTAAGGCAGTTTGCGTGTTTATATACACTACATGCAAGGGACGAGTAGTAGTAGAAGTAGTGGCAGTGGCAGTGGTAGTAGTAGCAGTAGTAGCAGTAGCAGTAGTAGTAGTAGGTACTAGTTGGTGGTAGTAGGTAGTAGTAGTACTTCGTGATAGTAGGTGGTAGTTGTAGGTACTAGTAGGTGGTAGTAGTAGTAGGTCATGGTAGTAGGTGGTAGTAGTAGTAGTAATAGTAACAGTAGTAGTGGTAGTAGCAATAGTATTAATAGCGGTAGTAGTGGTAGTAGTAGTAGTAGTAGGTCATGTTAGAAGTAGTAGTAGTAGTAGGTAATGGTAATAGTAGGTGGTAGTAGGTAGTAGTAGTATTAGTAGTAGTAGCAATAGTAGCGATTGTATTAAGTAGCGGTAGTAGTATGAGGTGATTCAGTATCAGTATCTAGTATTTTGGTATTAGTAGTAGTAGTAGTAGTATGTGGTGGTTCAGTAGTAGTAGTAGCGGTAGTTGTAGTAGGTTCTTGTAGAAGGTTGTAGTAGGTAGTAGTAGTAATTCATGGTGGCTCGGTAGTAGTTGTAGTAGTAGTGGTAGTTGTAGTAGGTTCTAGTAGAAGGTGGTAGCAGGTGGTAGTAGTAGTACTTGGTAGTTCTGTAGTAGTAGTAGTAGTAGTAGTAGTAGTAGTAGTAGTAGTCCTACAGTGTAATTAAAACCGATCCTAGTTGTGTAAGTGAATAGAACTTCATTCCCGCAGTACTTATTTGTTGCTGTAGTAAAATACATATGCGTTGTGAATCTCCACAGTGGTCGATGCAGTCCCCTCTGTCTGGACCGGCTTACTAATCTTTGTCTGTAAACACTGAGGCTCTGAGGGCGGCTCGCTGGATCAGTGCTCTCAAAAACATATCTGAGGATGCTACGCTAGCTGCTCCCTCATCCATATTTATACACATGTTCTCTGCAAATCACGCTATGTGCATTTTAGTACAAATTCACACCTCCACTGCCGCGCCTCCAGACTCTCTCCCTCTCTCTCTCCCCCCTCTCTGCTTCCTGATTTCCCTGTTGCTCTGTGGCACGCGCTTGATCAATACGTAATCAGCTTTTGAGACGTATATTTGTCCCCACTCAGATGCCATTACCTGTGTGATCAGTCTCCTGCTAGTTGGATTAGCGTAGCATAGCTCAATCATCAATTCACAACATCAACTTTTAATAACTTTTCTTGAGCCTAAAATTGTGCCGACTGTCTTTGAATACATAGTTTTGCCTTATTATAGACATGCACCCATAAGATACTGGCACAGACACTGAAATTTTGTAAATCAGATATCAGTCCTAAGATATCGGTTCAGTTTATATCCTATTTTGGTCTGTAAACTGGTGTAATTAGACTATATACTGGACAATGTTGGCCCAAAACACCTTGTAAAATTGAACTTGTGTTTTATCAAAGCTGCTCTGTAGTTACCTTAAAGGATAAATAACAGTTACACAACACATTTGGATCATTGTTTTAATAAATAAATAATAAATAAATAATAATCCGTCCTGGTATCGGTTGATTTTGGATATTGGCAGATACTTAAAGCCACAGTATCACCATCAGTATCGAAACAGAAAAAGCTGGATCAGTGAGTAGAAACATGTAGTTTGGAGCCAAGTTCAGACTTTGAGTTTTAAATGGTTAAAGTCTGTATGGTTTATATTTAGAAAATTAATATTGAAGTAATTTCTTTAATTGATAACAGTACTGGTATTAATCTTTGGCATTGATACTGAAAAATTTGCTAGATCAGGTATCGGCTTCCAAATATTGGTTCGTTCGATACCCTGGTTAGACATACAGTATAAATCAGATGTGATATGATTATATACTGGTCATAGTCAGCCCAGAAATGTTTGAACTTTTATTTACACAAGTTGTTCTGTAGTTTCTTGAGTGATAAATAACAGATTACATAACGCGTTTGGATACATTTTATCTTATTGTATTTTTAGTTTTAAGGAAATAAATGCTGTTTTCACTCTCCGCACTGATATTGGTTAATATCGAGTATTGGAAGATACATAAAGCAATTGGAATCGGAAATAAAAAAGCTGGATCGGGGAAATATGTGATCAGTATGTGGGTTGCAATAGTTCTTATTCATACCCCCAAGCTTGGATGAGTGAATGGTGGTTGCATAAGACATCCCACCTATAAGTTATTTCATATAGTTACACGATATTTAAAATCTCACTGACCAATCATCTCTCTCTCTCTGTTTGTACAGGTTTGTATGGGATGACTATGCAGTAGAGGTGCGACTAAATGACTACCTGGACATCGTGTGCCCTCACTATCCCGAGGGGGAGGTGCCTCAGGTGGATGCAGAGCGTTATGTTCTTTACATGGTGGAGCGAGAGGATTATGAGACCTGCAAACCCCAGTCCTATGACCAGATGAGGTGGGAGTGTGGACACCCCTTTGCCCCTCACGCCCCGGAGAAGTTCTCTGAGAAGTTTCAACGCTTCACGCCATTCACGCTGGGCAAAGAGTTTCGCCAAGGAGAAAGCTACTATTATATCTGTAAGTAGATTCACAATGATAATTACATAGTTTGAATTTATAGACTTAGACTTGGATAAACTTTATTGATCCACAAGGGAAATTATTTGGACACAGTAGCTCACAGCATATTATAATAACAAAGAGAATTTGTATAATAAATTCTAAATAAGTAGCAGAAATAGCAAGAGAGTATTATATGCATATGTTCAAGTAAAAATAAAATATAGTTATAAAAATATATCTCAGCTAGATACATGAGGTTGTAAGGAAAGCAGTGCAAAAATGATAAGATGATTGACATTGTACATTATTTTTTCCAATGCTATTTTCTTAGAATAATTTTTATTATTGACCACTAACCACTGAATTTGAAAAAAGTTTGCAAATACTAAAGAAATTATTAACAATCGATCTCTATGCTGCGTCATAGGCCAGAATGTTGTGATAATATTTTTTAGTAAAATGTATGAAAATATACTTTTCATACACAATCAGTTGTGTATTTTTTATAATGTTGTTTCCTCATCACAAACATACCCGGAGTTGTGTTTTGTTTCATTCACACAAATCCTACATATTTAGGCTTCCACCTTATGATGTCATGTGGTAATAGAGGAAGTGCCCCACTGTGTTTTTAAACTCCACACACCTTCACTAGAAACATTTGGATAATTTCAACCCTGGAATTGCCAATCTCTGCTGAATAAAGGGTGAAAGGTAGTTGTTAACTTTAAAAATACCACTACATGACATCACAAGGTGGAGTTATTTAAACAAAACACAACTCCAGGTATGTTTTTGAGGAGGAAACAACATTATAACATGGCTTAAGTTTCAAAAGAGGACTGTACACTCAGTTTTAAAGCAGCCTATGTTATAATTACATTTTCCTTCTATAATATGCAATTAGGATTAAACATTACCTCTCATATCCAAGAGAAATGTCGAAAATGTTTAATTTTGCTTGTAATGGTGGCTTTGGGAACACATGCTCCACTGTGGCTACAATTTGGTTTCAGAAAAAAAGAAGAAAAGTCATAAAAAATAAAATGTGGCAATTTCTCAAACTTGAATCAGTACAGTATATGCCCAGAATAAGCAAAGTTTATTACACTGTTGATAGCAATCTCTTGTGTGGTAGTAATAGTCAGATTGGGTTACAACAGGCCTGTAATTGGGTCAGAGTTGGGTGCTTGCTGATTTGTTGGGACATGATAGAACTTGTTGGCGACTTGAATTGAAGCTGCTTAGTTCTGGCAAGCGCTGTGGAGTTCCCTTTGCCAAAAACACAACCGCAAAGTGAGCAGTGCTGCCTATAAGCGTAATTAGACACACAGTAGGACATAGGACATACTTGGTCACAGATGGTCCCCTTAAATCTCTGTCCAGCCTTCTGTTCGCTGCCAAGAGCTCGTGTATGGGGGTCAGTGGATTAAGGGGCCTATGGGAGGATAAGTGCATTAAGTTGGGATGTTAACGCCTCTTGTGTCCCTGTTCACAGCCAAACCCTTGCATCATCACGGACAGGACTGCCTCCGACTCCGCGTGGACGTGGTGGCCGCAGACGGTGAGTGTCCCACAGTGATGACATCAAAGCAAGCTGTTATGACATATATAGTGTTTTAAAGGTCCCATATTACACTATTTTATGATCTATGTTTTAAAGTTGGTTCCCCATCAAAAACAACCAGAGTTGTGTTTATTTCATTCACATGTTTCATTCCCACACACAAATCCTGAATATTCAGACTTGGTTCTTCTCTCAAACGGAAAACATTCCACGTTCCACATTATGATGTCATGTGTTAATACAGGAAGGGCTCCACTGTGTTTTTAAACTCCATACACTTCCACTAGAATCATTTGGATGAGTTTAGCCCTGCTATTACCAATCTCTGCTGTTTCATGACATCATAAAGTGGAACAGAGCATTTTGAGTGCAGGATTACTCAAGCATGTGTGAATGAAACAAAACACAACTCCAGGTATGTTTTTGAGGAGGTAACAACATTATAACACGGCTTAAAGTTCACAAGAGTCAGTTTAGTTTAATATAGGACCTTAAAAAAATATCAAAACCTAAACTTTGACTTCATTAGTTTGAGGAGAAGAAAAGTACCTGCATTATTGATGTAATTCATCCTTTTAATTAATTCATGGTACAGGCAGAATGAGTTCCTTTACACAGGTACACAAACATTACCACATATGAATCTATCTTACTGTCAAGTACTGCATATTACACATGTATGACTGGATGTCAGTACTTGTCAACGGTAAGAAACATATGCAACTTCAAGAACACCAGGAGAATAGTAATCAAAGTGAAGATTAATTTGCTTGCTTTTAGAAACAGACCTGCTTTTTTCTATGGAAATGTCATTGCTTTGCCTGGAATGTTCCACAGTATGACATTAAACAGCTCTATCTTACATTTATTCAATTACTGGTGGTTTTATAGCTCAAAAATACCTAGAAAAACAGGCATTCTGACTGTGAGCTGGGTCGTCTCTCCACAGATCTGACCCTTTACTTGGCCTTGTATGGTCTCTTTGAAGAAAGAAAGGTTTAATACTGTGAAACATTCCAAACAAAGCAAAACATCTCCATGGGGAAAAGCATTTGACAGACCCTCAACCAAAAAAGTTACACAATAGACACACTTAGACAAACTTTATTGATCCACAAGGGAAATTATTTGGACACAGTAGCTCACAGCGTATTATAATAACGAAGAAAAGTGATATAATAAATTCCAGATAAGTAGCAGAAATAGCAAGAGCATCTTTACATCTAACTCTACAGCAAAAATACAAGACCACAACACTCTTACGTACAGCGTGGCTATGCTTGCAATGCTCAGGTTAAGTAGAGTTAACATTCTTTGTTTTCCTCCAGGCTCTAAAGAAGCTCGTGTGGGCAAAGCAGGTCCAGGAGGCACAGCGACAGTCGGGGCAGGGGGCGGAGCTCACAACCCGTCCAACAGACTGCCAGCAGGTATATGGGCCAAGCTAAAGTCCTGCTTAATTACCATGCACTGTAAAACAATACACTCACTTTTCTAATCCATGTTATAATGTTGTTTCCTCATGACAAACATACCTGGAGTTGTGTTTTGTTTCATTCACACATGTTAAAACACACAAATCCTGCATAGGTAACAGCATCCCAAACTGGTTTAAAGCTCACAAGAGTCAATTTTGCATAATTTGGGACCTTTAAAACTCCAACACGTGTAACTAATGCGTGTTTAGCTCCTACTCTTCGATGGGCCCTTACGAAAACACTGTAATGGGTTTATGGCTGGGTTATAAATGAGATAATAGGGAGGTGGTCAGCTGGTTGTAAATCATTTAAATTATCTTGTCATAATACTAGTACATAAGACACAAGGGTATGGTGCTGTGTTGTTTGCAACTGAGTAGTGGAAAAAATAAAACACTGAAAATCACAGACATTTTGCAGTGTTTAATTGCTCTGAATTGTTCGGCAGTTTTTCTAATTGTGGTGTAATAATCGTAATCAATCAAGGAAAATTGCAAAGCCCTTCTGTAGCTCTAACTTTATTAATGAATATTGTTGTATTGTTTTAAAGGTCATATATTACACAGAATTTACTCTTGTGAGCTTTAAGCCATGTTAGAATGTTGTTACCCCCTCAAAAACAGACCTGGAGTTGTGTTTTGTTTGAGTAATCCTTTTTATTATTAGTCTATCTACATCTCCAAAGCTCAAAATGCTATGGTCCAACTTATGATGTTATTTAGTTAGAGTGTTTTCTGTTTGAGAGAAGAAATCAGCCTAAATATGCAGTGTTTGTGTAATAAACATGTGTGAATGTAACAAAACATAACTTCAGATTTGTTTGTGAAAAGGAAACAACATTATAACATAAATCAGAAAATGGCATCATCATTACTTTAGTAAGCAGTTTATTTATTTATACATATTTTTTTGCATTTTCAATTGCTTTAAAACAATATTTCAGAGTGTTTATGTTTGCGTTGAGCGTGTGAAGAGAGAGATGGGGCGTGAGAGGGTGTTACTTTATTTTATTTCGTTTTTATTTACTTATTTTGTCTATTTTTGTTTTTTGCGAAAGGTGCATTGTGTAACTTTTCTGGTAGAGGGTCTGTCAAATGGTTTTCTTCATGGAGATGTAATTGCTTTGTCTAAAATGTTTCACAGTACGATAAACCTTCCTATCTTCATGGAGACCAAACCAGACCATGTTACAGGTCAGACCTGCGGAGAGGCGACTCTGCTCACAGTCCGAATAATTGTTTTTCTAGGTTTCTTTGAGCTATAAAACCACCTGTAATTGAATAAATGTAAGGTTTTTGTTTGGACATTTCTGGCAGAGCAATGACATATCTATAGAAACAAGTACGTGATGGACCTTCCACCAGAAAAGTTACACAATGCAGCTTTAAATATTCAAATAAAATCTATATATGAGGATCATCCATCAGTCATAGAACTCTGAACCACTGTAATGTATCTGGTGTTGTTTGGGATTACAGCACAATGGGATTATATAGATAGGCTTAAGTTTCCACAGTTTTAACTTATATTGGTTTCTCTTTTGTTTTTCAAGCAGACGACCCGGTGGTGATATTCCCCGATGTCCAGAAAAGTGTCCGGACAAACTCAGCAATTACGACGTCACTCTCCATCTTCTCTTTACTCATCCCCTTTTCATTATTGCTCCTATTACACTGAGCAGAGACAATGAGACTGCTGTTTACAGACTTTTTCAGGGACTTACAATGAAGACATGAAGTCCGTAGGGGATCTAACCACTGACTTAAAACTAGAAAAAAAAAAAAACAAGATGGCGGTTTTGCCTTTGCCCAGTGCTGGTCACATGGGAACAAGATGAGACGGATCTTGAAACCGTTGTGGAGAATTCAAGACAATGCAAGGTCTGTCTTCTGAATGTGACAATGTTCCTTGGAAGATTTATGGATTTCTAAAACGGCAGATGAACAATCAGCGTATTCTGGTTTGAGTCCAAAACCAGTTGACCTGTCCACCCTTGTGCATTGTGTACTTTTGGTTGTACTGTTCTCGTAAAAGTATTGAAATCTCCCTGTGTTTTTCTGTATATGTAGCAGGGGAATACTGTCGTTCTACCTTTGCTGTAGCACTCCACTGCACAGTTCAATCTCCTCATCGCTACGGTGACGTCAAACGCTTTGTGCCACACGGCGGTTTTGTGTACATTTCTGTGAAGATAATTTATGACAGCTGTTTTACTGTAAATACTAAGTAAGTTCTCTCAAAATGTTTACTAGTTTTCCTTCCTTGTATATGTGCGCAAGGAGGAAAAATGTGGCATGGTATGTTTTGCTGCCAAAAAAAGCAAATACGGACTTGTTGTTGCGAGAGGCAGGACTTCTCAGATTGCTGGATTTTTGCCACTTTTTTCTGCATAAAATGTCAAAAAGAAACTGGTTTATGGATGATCTTGAAGCTAATGCTAACCTTGTGTGCTATGGTGCTCTCCCATTCATTCTTGTTCACAAATTCTAGCTACACCGGATTTTTTGAAAAGACTATATTTGGACGCGGCTCCCAAGTTGCCAAGCACACACCACACTGACGGACAAAAGCACAACAGTGTATGACTACCATTTTGTAAAACCATGAATTCTTGTTACTTATTTTGTACATGTGTAATTAAGAGTGTATTATATGTACATAGCCTACATAAGATTATATTAAACTGTTTGAGAAATATGCTAAATGTGAAATTTTCATGTGAAATAAAAGATATTTTTGGAAACTCAAACTAACGTCCTTGTTTTTGGTTGTGTTAAAGGTCCTGTATTACACAAAATTGACTCATGTGAGCTTTAAGCGATGTTATAATGTTCATCAAAAACATACCTGGAGTTGTGTTTTGTTTCGTTCAGACCCTTTATTATCAGTCTGTTTACATCCAATCCAATCCAATTTTATAGCACATTTTATAAACAAAACAAAGTGCTTTATTAGGAAACCAATAGAATCAGTAAATAAAATAATAATAATAAATCAGTGAACAAAAATAATAAACTCAATATATAAAAGGAGTACAAAAAAATATAAAATAGATAAAAACAATAAATAAATAAAAGACACAGAGGGCCACACAACTCACGTGGTGTTAAAAGCCAGAGAAATAAAAGTGGGTTTTAAGACAAGACTTAAAACACTGTTCGGATGTCGGGGGGTCAGAGCGTTACAGAGTTTGGGGCCGGTCACGGAGAAGACCCTGTTCCCCTTGGTTTTAAGTCTCATCCTCGGACCTCAGAGCACATGCAGGGTTGTAAATCTGGATGAGGTCCGAGATATACTGTGGTGCCAGTCCATTTAAAGCTTTAAAAACAACCAATAAAATCTTAAAATCAGTTCTAAAATTAACAAGAAGCCAGTGCAATGATGCAAGAATTGGGGTAATGTGCATTTGCTCCCTGTTAAAAGATGTGCAGTTGAGTTCTGGACTAATTTTAAGTGATCACCAAAGCTCATATTCCTCTGTTCCACCTTGAGATGTTATGAAGAGGAGCTTTCATGTACAGTTTACTTTTTCTTCATTAGAGATTGGCAATTCCAAGGCAGAAATTATCCAAATAATTCTAGTGAAGGTGTATGGAGTTTAAAAACACAGTGGAGCACTCTTTGTATTACCACGACATCACGACCATCACAAGGTGGAACAGTGTATTTTCTGTAGGACAGAAAATCTCTAATGTGTAAATATTCCTGGTTTGCGTGTTAAACGTGTGAATGAAACAAAACACAACTCCTGGTATGTTTTTGGTGAGAAGACAACATTATAACAGAAAATAACCACAGAAAATAGATTTATATGAGCTTTTTCACAGGTTTAATCTGGGTTCATGGGGTGGTTTTGGTGTTGGAAAAGCTGTGAGGAAAACTAGTCAATTTCTGATGTAGATAACGAACACTGTGGAGGTAGGAAAATAAATGAAAAGGTTTGTATACAGTAGAATGAATGGGATCTGGGCCAAGGTGACCAGATAGAGAGAAAGCAACATTGAGATAGCGCTTTAACAGTTTATCCAGTGGGGGGTTCATCTTTCTTGGCAAGAGTCCTAATGCCTTCAGCAAAACCACAGAACATGCAAAGAATGGACCTTAAATGAGGATCTGCGATCCCTCAGCAACAAGCAGAAATAATGATCTCAGTACAAAGTTGGAAATGAAAAGAAACATGCTATGCTTTGGTTCATATGAAGGTTGGAAAAAGAAAAAAAAAATCAATGTTCAGATGCTAAAAACACAAAATAGAGATATGGAAGTGTCAATACAGGGACACATACTTAATATAAGAAAAAGTGTAAGTGCAAACTGGTAGCCTTGGTACATTATAGAGTTTGTCATTCCTCTACTGAATGTTTGAAACCTTGAGAAGTACACAGTGCCAATACTGTATACAATTTTTGAACAAAAATGAATGATAATAAAATTGTTGTGAGGATTTAAGCTTCTTTGCAACGACATCTCACTGCTTTGACAAACTGGACCAAAAGTGAGATGGGAGACTATAGGGAGTGACACTGTAAACGTAATTCTTGTATGCCTGCATGTTTATTTATGCATTTATGGTTATTTAAAGGTTTGCTATGTATCTTTTCTGTTGAAGGGCAAGTCATCTGCAGATAATCACACTAGGCCAAGTTACAGGTCTGATCTATGGAGCGGCAACCACACTCCCACCAAAAATGTATGCTTCCATGTTTTTAAACCAATAAAAACACCAAGTATTTAATATATACAAGAAAACTTTAACTGAATGCACTAGAAAAAAACAATATCTAAAATTACTTACTTCCTCCCACTCCTTTTTCGGACACAAGTAAAATCTGAGTGACATTTATTATTATTATTATTATTATTATTATTTTTATTATTATAGAAAAGAAATATTTACTTTTTGTATTTTTGTATTTACCTTTTTTTTATGCATGTTCTATGCATTACTGTCCAAATAAACATTCATTCATTCATTCATTAACTTAAATTAAGAACATCTGACTTTATTTGAGTAGTTTCAGCCTGACAAGTAAATTTAACTACCAATGGAATAAGTGACTTTTTATTCATTCAAGTAACATTTGATTTTTTTTTTTTTTTTTGTTATTTTAACTGCAAAAGTTGTTGTTTTTCTTATTTTAAATGTAGCAAGATGTATTTTCATGTTTTAACTACTGGCAAATAATTTTACTTGTCAAGTGAAATTTACTCAAATCATAATAAAACTTTCTTAATTTAAGTCATCTTAACTTGACTAGATTTTGTTTTTTGCAGTGTGCCTTACAATGGAGCTTTTCAGGCAAAAAAAAAATCAAATCTCCAAGATCCTCCACCAGAAAAGTCACGCATGCATCTTTAAGTGTTCTCAGGTGCATTAGTGTTTATATGCTCTAGTTTAAAAGTCCTATATTACTATTGTTATCTTTTTGCAGTTATAATGTTGTAACCTTGTCAAAAACAAGTGTTTTGTTTCATTCACACATGTTTGTATAGTTATTATTAGTCTATATACATCTCTAAAGCTGAAAATGCTCTGCTTCACCTTGTGATGTCATGAAGTGGTAGTTTTCATGTTAAGAGCTTCTTTTACTTTTAGTTCAGGAAATGCCAGGCCCAAAATTATCCAAATAATTATAGTGAAAGTGTATTGAGTTTAAAAGCACAGTTTCCTGTATGATGACAAGACATTATAAGATGGCACAGAGTGTTTTCAGTTTGAGAGCCTAAAAATGCATGGTTTATGTGTTTAACATATGCAAATGAAACAAAATACAACTCCAGGTATGTTTGCAATGAAACAATATGCTAAGAAAGCTTGAAGATTGACCTGAATTCAACCCACGGATATGGCACTATCAGTGTTGTCCCTTTTGGCTCTGGTTCAGGTTCCTTGTTCCTGTGTTATCTCTCCTCGGGCCTCCACCCACAGATACCTTCACCAACCATTATCTTCTATTGTCACGAAGCAAGTCAGGCCATTGTTCCTCCTTGCTCTTCTTTCTTCATCTTGTCTTCGCAATCCCTGAGGACTTTATGGCAGTGACCGTAAAAGCATCTGTAACTTCAAAATGTTGTGCCAAGCCTGCCTCTCCTGCACACACATCTCCTCCTCGGTGTTTTCAAAGGGGCAGTAGTCGTAAATTTAAGTTTTCAGGACAGGCACTCTTAACCCCCCTGACCCTAAACAAAAGAGCACTCCTGCGTCACAAACATACACAGATACTAGTATGTCCTATTTGCTGGTGGTTCACAGGGAAGGGTCTGAGTAAATGTAGAGGGTGAGTGTGAAAGGGTTAACGCCGTTGTAAATGTGAAATACTGTTCTGAGTAAAGTCAAGTCAACAGCAGACAGACAAAAAGGACCTGTTTAGGGGTAAAGGTCTTAACGCACTGACTGGGTGAAGTAAATAGGAAAAAGGTGTCTTAAAACTGAATGAGGGTTTGACATACCAGGACATAGTCAGAGGGTCAGAGCAGGGGTAAACATTAGAAATAAACTGATATATACATTTGTACTTTTTAGTGTATCAGCTATCAGCCTTAAAGTTCTAAAATTGACTCTCGTGAGCTTTAAGCCGTGTTATAATGTTGGTACCTCCTCAAAATTATACCTGGAGTTGTGTTTTGTTATTATTAGACTATCTACATCTCCAAAGCACAAAATGCTCTATTCCACTTTGTGATGTCATGTAGTGGTAGTTTTCATGTTAACATCTAACTTTTACTTTTTGTTCAGAGACTTGCAATTCCAGGGCTGAAATCATCCAAATGATTTTAATGATGTTGTTTGGAGTTTAAAAAAACACAACAGAGCACTTCCTGCATTACAAAATGACATCACAAGGTGGAACAGAGAATTTTCTGTTTGAGAGAAGAACTCTGCTTAAAGTGACAGTTCAGACTTTTGGACATAGGGCCTCATTTCCTAGGTAGCCAGAGTGTTGGAGATGTGTGGACACACTTTTTTAAATATTCCATCAAGTCCTTGTATTTGCAGATGTTGCTGGTGCTAGGCTAGTGCATGTCAATGGCCATAGTTAGCCTGCCACTAAAAACAGTCTTACCCACTCCACAAAACACCCGAAGCAAATCTATTATTACACCAGACTGTCCATTTAAATGTCTGTGTTGATAGAATAATGTTTGAAATAAAACTAACCTTGCATTGCATGAATCGTCGTATGTTGAGGGACTATTTTCTCATGTATCAGTCCGCCGCTGCTAAACTTTGTATCAGGAAGTACAACTCGCTGCTGCTGCACAGACATAAGTCCTTCAAATGCAAGGTTGGTTTTGCTTAAATTTACCTAAATTTATTCTATCAACACAGACATTCACATCAACAGTCTGGTGTAATAATGGATTTGCTTCGAGTGTTTTGTGGAGTGGGTAAGACTGTTTTTAGTGGCAGGATAACTATGGCCATTGACATGCACTAGCCTAGCTTGAAGATAGAAAGGTTTAATCCCATACTGTGAAATATTCCAGACAAAGCAATAACATGTTCACGGAGAAAAGCATTTGACGGACCCTATATCAGAAAAGTTACACAATGCACTTTTAAAGAACACTATAACAATCAAAATAATGGGTGAGTCGACATTTAAACAACACAAAACTAAACAACAGAGACACAGGTGTTTTGTTTTGTTGTTTTTTTTGTTTT